GCCCCGCAGATACGTCTTCTGCGGCGTGGCCCACGGCGAGGGCCCCGGGCCCACGGGCGGCGCGTGCCGCGTGGACGCGGCCACGGGCGCGGCGGACGTCTGGGTCGCCTCGCCCACGGAGCTCGGTGGCTCGAAGATGGGAAGCAAGGGCGCCCTCGAGGGCGCGAAGTTATTTGCGCTTCGCGGTTCGGCTCCGGTTCCTCATCCTCCTCTTCTCCCCTGGGAGGCGGCGCGAGAGCGCGAAGTCATTCCCGCTTCGCGCAGCGCGAAGCGCGAAGTTGGGAGCCCTTGAAGATGTGAAGCGTACAGGCGGCCCGGATTAGTAGGTCGCCTCGCCCACGGAGCTCGGTAGTTCGAAGATGGGAACCCAGACATGATGGCGTCGAAAAAAAATATCAGGGCGGGAGGTTTTTCGTCATTTTCGGTCCCGGGGGGCCCTCGCCGGGCCTCGGGACCGTCAAAGAACGACTCAGGACGCAAAACCGGTCCCGGGGAAAGGGTCGGGACTCCCGTGGGCGCCGTCCTGAAGAAATCAGGACGTCGCATGTCTGGGAAACGTGCAGGCGGCCCGGATTAGTAGGTCGACCCTGCCAGATCAAGGGTACCCTCGTACCCTGTGTCTTGCGACCCATGCCTCCTGCATTTCTGTGGCAAAGTGGCCCCCAGAAGGGTCCTGTGTCCTCTCGCGTGTCCTCTCCAATCAAGTCCGACTGTAAGACTCAAGTGAGCCAGAGGTCGGGTTTGCCGACGCTCTTTGACGAGCGCGTCCTGGATTCTGGCGGTCCAGTGTTCGTGGAATGTTTTTGCAGTGGGAGCTCGCGTCAAGTTTCATATTGGGTCTCGCCATTTTAATGATGGCCACGTCAGGCCAACCCGAGTCCCCCGTACCCGAGTCTTACGTCTCCCCGGTTTCAGGATGGGGTCACGAGGGATGGGGCCCTAAGGACAGACGAAATCCAAAGGCGGTCTTACACTGTTCGAGGCACCTCGTCCCTAGGACCCCATCCCTCAGGAACCCTCATCTTGGAACCACCGAGGAGTTCTGCAGCGCCCCCACGTTCGTCCCGAAGCCGGGCGCGGCGGCGGAGGGCGAGGCAGGCCGGGCACAACCCGGGGGGAGCCGCGGCCCGCTCGTCCCCAGACCACCCTCGGGCAGTGACAAAAAAAAATCCCGACGGGAGGGTTTTCCGTACTTTTGGTTTCTGGAGGCCCTCACCGGGCCTCGGGACTGTCAGAGAGCGATTCGGGATGAAAATCCGGTCCGGGGGAGGGTCTCGACAGGATGAAGAAATCCTGACGCCGGGGGTCTGGGTCCCCGGGGACGCATCGCCTCCGCCGCCCCATCGCGAGAGATCGCCCCACACGATGTGTGTGTTTTCCCTGGGGGGCGCACGGGTCCCCCGGTCGGGGCTTGGCCGGCCAGGGCTACCTGCTGACCCTCGTGCTTGACGGCGCGGCCGGGCGGAGCGACGTGGTGGTGCTCGACGCGCAGGACGTGGCGAAGGGGCCCGTGTGCCGCTTCGCCCTGCGGGACGCGATGCCGCACAGCCTCGGCGGGGCCACCTGGGCGCCGGGCCTCGCCTTCACGGAGGAGGAGCTGCAGCGCAAGGTCACCCTGAGGAGTCGAGGAGGAAAATAAAAGCGCGCAAGCAGAGATCGGCGGCGAGCGATGGGGGCAGAATGAGAAGGAGGAGGCCTCCTCAGGAGGCGACGGGACCTCTCAGAAGCCCTCGAGCGTCTGAGAGGAGTTCCGCGTCTTCCGGGAAGGCTCAGGAAACTTCTCGGAAGGCCAGGGGCCTTCCGAGCCTTCTGAGAAGGCGCGCCCCTTCTCATTTCCACCCGTTGCTCGCCGCCGAATAAACTTTCGACGGTCCGCGCGGACTTGACCCCCCTTCCTGGCGCGCGGAGCGCGCTAGGGGCGGCACCAGAGCGCCAGACCGTCAAACGTTTATGTTTCTGCCGTCGCTCCCCCTTTCCCAAGGAATCTCTTCGAGAAGAAGTCCAAGGAGTGGAACGAGATGAACACGAGCGCCTCGCTGGCTCCCGGGCTGAACACCCTCTTTCAGAAGCAGGGCACCAAGATGCGGTGAGGGGGCGGGCAGACCGTGGGCCTGCCACCGGCTTCTGCCCCAGCGGCCCTTCCCGCTCGCTTTCTCATGGTTGTCCTCGTGGTCCCTATCCCTTCTCCTCCTCCTCCTCCTCCTCCTCCTCTTCCTCCTCCTCTGATTCCTTCTCACCTTTCTCTCACTCCTCTTCTGATTTCTCCTCCTCCTCCTCCTCCTCCTCCTCCTCCTCCTCCTCCTCCTCCTCCTCCTCCTCCCCCTCCTCCTTTTTCCACCTTTCTCCCATTCCTCCCCCTCCTCCTCCTCCTCCTCCTCTTCCTCCTCCTCCTCCTCTGATTTCGCCTCCTTTGTTTCTCCCCCCCCTCCTCTGATGCCTTTTCACCCTCCTCTCATTCCTCGTGGCCCCCTCACATCCACACACAATTTTCAGCCAACCTTCCCGATTTGGACAGACCAGGTGGCGAGCAAGCTCGGCTGAATAAAAGGGCGTGCCGCCCGCTGTGTGCACGACCGTGGCCCCCGCAGACGCGGATATCTCGGCGAAAGTGCTTCCCCAGCCTCGTGCGTCGGCAGCAGCTCGCCGCCCAGCCGCCGACGCCGATATCCTTTTCGGCCCGAGGGCTCTCTCGCAAGGTTGGCCTCAAAGGCCCTTGCATTCTAACCGCGCATCCTTCAAATACGGGTTGACTGTACGTGGACGCCTCCCGGCGCCAGGAAAGCCAGCTGCGTGAGCTGATTCTCCACCTTGCCATGTGCTTTCCTGCCCTTTCGCCCCCCCCCAATTGAAGCTTGTTTGTTTTTTGAGACTCCGTCAAGTTTACTTGCACGGACTGGAGGGGAGGCTGAACCTGGAGCAAGCCGCAAACGACTTGACGTGCGAAAATCACGCAAGTCGAAATGCACTTGCACGCTAGTATTCGTTCGAAGATGGGCGAGAGGGGGAGGGGGGGGGGGGGGGGGGCGAACGCCATGCAAGTAAACTTGCCCGAATCTGAAAAACAATACGCTCTTTACGACCCCCCCGATCTTTGAATGTAACGGGCTCCCTGCGCCACCGTGGCCCAGCGCCCCAACTCCTCCTCCTCCCCCCCCCCCGGCTCCTTCCCGCTCTGGGACGGGCACCACCTGTCCACGACCACCGCCGCGGTGGATTGAGCCTTGGAGGGGGACCTCGACGAGCGGAGTGTACCCAGAGCCCTTCGAGTCACGAAAAAATCACGACGGGAGGTTTTGCGCTATTTTCTGCCCCTGGGCGCCCTCACCAGGCCTCGGGACTTTTAACAACGACTCAGGATGAGAAACCGGTCCAGGGGAGTGGTTCCTGGTCTCTGGGGATCAACGTTGTGAAGAAATCATGACGTCGGGAGTTTGGGCGTAGGGACTTGCATTCGTACCACCCCCGCTGCAAACACCTTTCGTAACCCCCCCGTGAGAAAGGTCGGGTGCGAGCGAGGGGGGGAAGCGAGAAGGAGAAAGCCTTCTCAGAAGGCACGGAAGTCCCCCGTCCTTCTGAGAAGTTGTCTGAGCCTTCCCGAAAACGCAGAACACTTCTCAGAAGGCCGGAGCGGTTCTGAGAAGTCCCGCCGCCGGCTGAGATAAGGCCTCCTCCTTCTTACCTCCCCCCTTCGGGTTGACCCGAAAGGGGGTCCAGCGACAAGGGGGTGGTGCAATAGATTTGGTGCAATCGATTGGTGGGGTTGCAATACATTTGGGGCGTGTAATACATTCCAGGGCGCAAATGTATTGTTGGATTTTCGCGTGCAATACAATGCAATACAATTCTCCGGCGTAGTACATTTGCAATGCAATTGCCCCAAATCTATTGCACCACCTCTTTTCAGCTGAACCCCCTTTTGGATCACCCAAACCCTCGCTCGCCGCCGAAATGGGGATGTGTATCCGCACCCCCAGACCCCCGACGTCATGATTTTTCATAACGTCGAACCCCAGGGGTCAGGACCCATTCCCCTGGACCAGTTTCCCATCCTGAGTAGTTTTTGTTGACGGTCCCGAGACCTGGTGAGGGCCCCCAGTGGACGAAAGTGGCGAAAAATGTTCCGTCGCTATTTTTGTCATGACTCGAGGGGCTCTGCACCCCTGGGTTATCCACCGCCCGCTGGGGTCCCATGGCGTCGGTTCCCCTTGGGCGGTGGACACGTATGAATCCCCGCCTCGCCCCCGTGTGCCGGGCCCCATCTCCTCCTCCTCCCCCTCCTCCTCGACGCAGCCCAAGGCGACCAGGTTCAATCCAGATCACCTAACCTTAGCCTGCAGCGGGTGGCGCCTGCTGCGAGGTCCGGGTGTTGTTAGAAGTGCCCCTGGCCCAGGGTACCCCCAGGATCTCCAAGGAGGCCCCCACGGCCTCCAGAGCACCCCTCGCGAGGCCCCCACGGGCCCCCTGGGGCTCCCAAGTCGAGCGCGAAAGGCTGGGGGGCACCTTGGGCCACGGGCACCCTTGGCAGCCCCCGAGAGGTGGGCCCCCCCATTGGCCAGGCCAGGAGAGAGCGAGAGAGGGTGGCGCGTCGGCGGGCGGGGCGCGGCGGCACCTGCGAGGCCCCGCGCCCTGGCCAAAGTACGCGGGTGGGAGCGGGCAGCGCGTCGTCCTTTCGACTCGACCGGCGTCGCCAGGTCGCGGGGAGGAGTGTGAGACAATTGTCGTTCTCGCTCTCCGGCCGATGCGGCCGCGATGGGCAACACACGGGAGGCCTGACGTGCATGAATAGGGCATGCGCGCGTGCCGTCGTGGGGCGCCGATGCGCCGGCCCACTTCCGCACCGAATTTCACGCCCATGTTCACAACAGCTGTAGAAGCTCAAGATGTGGTCTCAACGCTGGCCTCTGCGTTGTCCCACACAGTTCCAGCTGTCGGAACTCTCCTCCTGAGGCTCCCCAGGAGGGGCCGATACACGCATCCAATTGTGGGGCAGGCGCCAATTCGTATACGTGCTTGCAGTGTTCCAGGCCCCTGACGTCTTGACTGTTTCACACCGTCGACCCTCAGAGGTTTGGACCTCTTCCCCGCTACCGGTTCTCCATCCTGAGTCGTTTGTTGACGGTCCCGAGGCCCGGGTAGGGCCTCGGAGGCCGAAATTAGCGAAGAACCTCCCGTCGTGATTTTTGTCGCAATGCGAGGGGGTCTGGGTTGTTTGGCGGCGTGCGTGGAGGAATGGGACGCGCGGGCAGGGGCGGGGGGGACGTGTTCACAACAGTTCTTGCGAGGGCTTTCGAGTCGCGCTTATTCACGTCCCTGCGGCGAGGCCAGGCCACGTCGCGGCCGCTCCTGAGCGTCACGCTGGGCACGTCGATGAGGGGGGCGGAGGGGGGCGAGCAGGAAGGGAGGGGATGAGGAGGCTTAAGCATCGGCGGCGAGCCCAGGGGAAAGTGAGAAGGGGTGGGCCTTCTCAGAAGGCTCGGAAGTCCCCTGGCCTTCTGGGAAGTTTCTTTATTTCTTCCCCGACAACAAGGACATTATTTGTCAGAAGGCGCGAGGGCTTCTGAGAGGTCCCGCCGCCTTCTGAGAAGGCCTTCTCCTTCTCACTTTCCCCCCTCGCTCGCCGCCGAAAATAGTGTCAGTGCTTCGTCCACTCAAATCATGTCTGGGAGCATTGGTTTGGACAGTGGCATGTGGTCGCGGTCCTTTCGTTTGCATGTCTCGGTTGGACGATTTGGGGACGGTTGTGCAGTTCGTTTATGTTGCAGGTGATGTTGGTGTTGTCGGTGGTCGTGTCGCTGAACTGAACGCGGAACAACGTTTGAATATTGGGTGCTTGCTTGTGTTGGTGGACCCAGAAGAATCGGATGCAAACTTTTCTCTCTCTCCCTCTCTCTCTCGCGATGGATCCAGAGAAGAACCGGATGCAACTGCCAAATGTCAGGAGGGGAAAAAACACACAGACACAATTAATCGTCGATTCCCAGGAAAACATGTGAAAATATGGGAAGTGTGGGGAAGACAAAAACCCAGGACATACGGGAACATATGGGGCGTCTTGTTATTTGTGTGTATTTATTTGTGTGTCCCAGGGCCCCTTCAACTTCTCTCTCTCTCTCTCTCTCTTTCTCTCGCGATGGATCCAGAGACAAACCGGATGCAACTGCCAAACGCCACCTCCTCCTGGGGGGTCTTCACACCCAGGCAGGCGCAGGACCCCCTCGGCGCAGGCATTGCTCGGGGCCTTCCCGGGGGTCTTGATCCCCGCGCCCCCCCCGAAGGCGCTCCGCCCCGCGGTCCAGACCCCCGACGTCGGGATTCCCAGACCCCCTCGGGCCATGAACAAATCACGACGGGAGATTTCTCCTTATTGTCGGCCTCGGGAGGCCCTCACCAAAGAATCCGACGTCATGATGTGTTCATCACGTCGACCCAGAAAAGGTCTCGACCCATTCCCCTGGACCGGTTTCTCGTCCTGAGCCGTTTTTGACGGTCCCGAGGGCCGGGGAGGGCCTCGAGAGGCCGAAAATATGGAAAACATCCGACGTCATGATCTTGTCATCACGTCGACCCAGAGAGGTCTCGACCCATTCCCCTGGACCGGTTTCTCGTCCTGAGCCGTTTCTTGCCGGTCCCGAGGGCCGGGAAGGGCCTCGAGAGGCCGAAAATATGGAAAACATCCGACGCCATGATTTTTTCATAACGTCGCCCCAGAAAGGTCTCGACCCATTCCCCGGGGCCGGTTTCTCGTCCTGAGCCGTTTTTGACGGTCCCGAGGGCCGGGAAGGGCCTCGAGAGGCCGAAAATATGGAAACAAATCCGACGCCATGCTTTGTTCATCACGTCGACCCAGAAGGGGGCCTCGAGAGGCTGAAAATACAGAACAATCTCTCGTCGAGGTGTTTTCACTGCCCGAGGGGGTCTGGGTGCGACTGCGTGGCGCGCGGCGCCCCCCCGGCGCGCGCGCGCGCGCAGGAGGCGCAGCGGCAGCTGCAGAGCCTGAAGGCCCAGCAGGTGCCCGAGCTGGAGCAGCTCCTCGCGGAGTCCCGCGCGGAGCCCCCCCC